AAAATATTTTGAACCAAGCTTAACTTAGCTTCTGCGCCGAAAAAATGTAATTTGAAAATAAAACAAAGCAGGTCATAACCTTTCGTGTCGCTTGACGATTGATGAAAAGGCACATTCATGACATTTAGATAACTTACGGGAGGATAATTCTTTCTACGGATGGAAGGAAGTGAAATTATTTAAGTGAACAAATTATTTACCTTGTTACTTTTAAGGAAAACTTTCAGTGCTCTAATTTTTTTATTTTTTATTTTTTTTTTTTTTGTACTTAGCTTTCATTTTTATGTTTACGATGCTTTATGGAAATAAAAAAATTAAAAAATAAGACTGTTAATAGTGAGATTAAATTTCATAAGAAAAAGGTATCTAATTAATTTAGGTACCTTTTTTATGACATTTTATCAGAAGTGTACATAAAATACTATAATTTTATGTACATTTATTACATTTTACTGTGTTATTTGTATTTCCATTCATTTTATTATTAATTTTGATATTTCATTTATGGAAAAATGTCATAACTGAGATTAATATAAAAATAAGATCATATAAATTAAAGTTTAGCAGTAGTTAAATTTCATAAGATGATACTGTTACTTGTAGGTACCCTTCTCAGTTGAAATTGAAAACTCAAATTAACTTCTCCATACGTTTTTTTTAAAAGTAAAGGGCTTAACAGCGGAGAACAATGCTGAACTCAAATAATGCAACTAAATTGTATTCTGGTTGGTCTTCCGTACTTGATAATTACTGTCCGACTATAAACACAAAAATTACATTTCTTAATTACCATGGCTAATCTGATTGGTCCAAATTATACAATTTTCAAAGCGCTAGACAATGACAATCTCACACGGACATTTTGAAAGGTTGATGCTGCTTTTAACTAATGTTAAAATATTTTTAAAAATTCAATTTAAAATTTAAAAAAAAATTTTTTTTAAATTAAAGAAATAAGAAATAATTGTATTAAAAATTCAATTTTCATTGAAAAAATTTTTTGCTTTCAGAAAATATTGTCCATATTCATAAAAACAAATTAAAACAAATAAAAGCATTTGAAACTAAATAATATATTTGTTTTATTGAGTTTTGTATGTTACAATTCAGAGCTGATTTTCAGGTACATTGGCCAAAAAAAACCCAAAAAAAACATGATTTGCATTCTTCAAAGCCTTGTGCTTTTAACTATTGTAATCACTAAAACCGATGGTCTCGAATTTCTAGAGTTTTTCATAAAATTAGTTATGGGGGTGTTAATAAATATACAAAAAAATATTTCTGCCATGACTTTAATAAAAAAAAAACATATTTATAATAATTTCGATCATCTGTGAATAGTTTCTGAAAGTTTCATTAACATCTGACAATTATTTTTATTTTTGCAAGATTTTCCAAATTAATGTGTGTAAATACAAAAAAATGCGCTAAAAATTATCTATGTTATTTACTAACCTTTGTTGCGACAAAGAGAAACAATGTTTTTTAAATCAAATTTTAGAATATTCTAAAAAGATGGAAAATTTTTTAAAAATAATTAAAAAAAAATTTAGTCTATCCTCTTCATAAAAAATAAGCATTTTGACGATAAAATTTTGTTTTCATAAACTTTGGCGTCTTTTTCATCAGACTATGCTCTATGTTTTAGCGATTCCGTGGAGTGACTTAGGTTAAAAAACCCAGTTTGTTTGTGTGTGTGTAAGTGTGTGTTCCTTTATATATGGGATCGGATTTCTTACATTTTTCAGCTGATAAAACAAACATCCACTTTTTTTTTGGCAGGTAGTATTTCTTATTGTCTTGCACACTTTTTTCTTTATTTACATTCAGAATGCTTTAAAAATTCCATTTACAAGACAATTGTTTATAATAAAATTCTAATTCTATTCAATCGGGGGACTCATCATAACGATTGTAAACAATGTTTTTGTTTGAGTTTGGGTTTGGGTTTGACCAATTCGTAAAAAAAAAAAAAACTAATTAAGACATGCGTGTCCGTCAACCTTAAACAATAATCTTTGTCAATTTTATTTTTCAGTCTTTATGATGGTCGATACTTGATCTATCTCTTACTGTTACATCCCCGGGCAATGCCGGGCTCTACTGCTAGTAGATTTCTAAAGTTCATCTTTGCTGGTAAATTATGAACTACCAAAGTAGACCTTCCTCTTCAGAATGCAAAAGTTTTCATTTGGGTCAAAGTTGATCAAACAAGCTGGCCACTGCATCAAACATCTTTGAAACCCATTTTATTTGGATCTTCATTAGTTTTCTTTGCCAAATGTGATAAAGTATTGCTGTGCATAAAAAAACTTTTTTCTGAAAGTATTTGGATTCTTCTTGAACCATGGCTCCCCATGTGCTTTCAAAAATCAATATATATGTAAGCTGTCATGTTAACACCATCTGAAACTCACTCTGTGCCTACAAGTTCAACTTTTATAATCCCACTGCTAAATATTACACAACATCCATGTTATAGATATCTCCACCTGTCAGGGTGATTTCTGACAGTAGGTATCTAGCCTTTGTTCTATCTCTCCAGTCCATTGAGGGTTGCATATCATATCTTCATATATTCTTTTGTCCGTTTTATTACAGTCTCCCTTATGAATGTTTTTAAAAGTAAGTAGTCTTATGCTTCATAATTTGATTTAGGTAGGATACAAGATTGTGTGTTTTTGACATTTCCTGAGTTGCCAAAATACAGTCCAACCTCTTTAATCTGGCACTCTGTGGTCTGGCAACTCCCATAGTCCAGTTCTCTTTTTAGCTGCCATTAGTTTCTCGGATAGCAATGAGGGAAGTGCCATACGTTGTTTACAACTTTCCACAGCAACCAACAGCAGCAGAGTGTTTTGGTGATACAGTCTTTTGCATTTCTAATATATATAGCGACATATTTATCCATTCAGGATAGTAAGTATATATTTTTGGTGGGGTTCTCGGCTTTTTTTTTTACCATGAAACATAAAAACTTTAATGATTGTTTTATTTCTTGTAAGCTTTGTTCTACCTTTGATAAAATATGTGGAATGAGTTAGTCAGACTGTTTACAGAGGGCTTTTAGGGATAATTTCTGTTATCCAGCATTTTCTCTAGTCCAGCAGTGGCCTGGTTCCAAGTGTGCCAGAAGTCAAACTGTACCAATAAATTTTGTAATTTGATAAAGATAGATTTTTTTTTTTTTATAAAATAACTTCTCTTGATACAGGAGACAGATTTGTGAGAAAAGTTTTTAAGTTGCTCTTATTAGAATTGCATTGGAGTTTATTATACTATTTTTTTTACTCAGTACAAAGCTTGAGAGCCACTCAAAATAGAGGATTACTGGATGAAGTTGTTGTCAGGGGGTAAAAATAGAAAGTAAAAAATGCCTATTATATGTATATGTAGAATCGATAACATGACTCTAGACTCGAAGAGGTTAAGATGGTAGCAATCAGAGAACTTCCTCTCAGGTGTCTGTTACACAAAGTAACATTTCTGATGCAAGATTTGTTGGAGTGTAACTTTTTTCTTACTAATAGAATACAAAGGGAATGAAGATGATTCAATCCTGTGTATGTGGCATGATGTGTCCTAGCTGTGAAGGTCTGAACTTATGGAAATTTTTCATATTATCATGGCACCAGCCAACTATTTTAATACACAGATTGACCATTCCACCAAGTAAAAATCAGATCTAATACTTGTGTATAAGAAAAAAAATCTGGTAGATTGTGGATGATGCTGTGGACCACAGAAGAAATATGAAAGAGAGTGAGCATTAGAAAACTATCAGGACTTTGTGATTTTCAATTGCAAGAGAGTTTTTGGTTTGTATTGATAATATTTGTCAACATGGTTGCAACCAATTTAACTTGCATTAAATCTAACAATATATCATTTTTGATGCCTGATTTGTGTTAGGACTGGTCTGGAGGTATGTTCTGCCTACCCATCATAATAGTTCTATAATTTATAAATTCAGGTGTCAGTGTGATGCAGAATGTAAGAGAATTAGTCAAAGATGGAAGGCACAGATCAGCCAACATGTATTTCCAAAGGGAAGGTGGACAATTTACATAAGTGTGTTAATGTATCAGATTTTAGCACTTTCAGCGATACTTTTAGAGATTATCTAAGATGATTTTATTTTTATTTTTAACTTAGTAAAAATAAAATCATCCTTGATAATAGCTAAAAGTATAGCTGAAAGCACTCGCGCATACAGAACATTCAGACAACTTCTATATAATTTATGTCTAGAAAAGAAGTAAATTATAAAAAAAAAACTAGTGAAATTAAACAAAAAAAATCTTAATCTTGTCTGTCATTTTTAATGAAATTGTGTATATATATATATATATATATATATATATATATATATATATATATATATAAAAATGTTCAATATAAAATACAGAGCCCTGGATATAATAATAAATGTTTCTGCTTTCTTTCATCTCATTAACTGTCAGTTTCATGCATTATTTCAATCTTCAGGTGATAAAAAAAGAAACTATTCACACAAAGTGTTGCAAAGTTTAGAATGAGGCTGGCATTTATAAGGGAAAATAGTTATAATATATTACTGACTGAAAGTTTTTCATCTGGACTATTTCAAGTTGCAATTCCACAAAATTGATGGTAGAGTCAACTATATATATATATATATATATATATATATATATATATACACACACACACACATATATATATATATATATATATACATACATGTATGTATGCATGCATATATACACAAACAACCTAAGGAAGACATACATGTGACCACATAGAGTCCACCAATTAAACTGTCCTATGAAAAGATAAGAATATTAGTCTAATTAGATAAGTATTAAAGATAAATAAAATTAATCTTTCAATTCCTTGTAAAAGAACATATGCTTGAAAAATTATATATCTTCAAAAAACAAATGTAAATGGTAAAGTAAGACCGGAACAGAATTTTTGAAAAACATCACTGCACAAAGTAACTGAAAAGAAAAATATACCTTGATTAAGATACGTTCTTTAAAGAATTCAGGTGAGGGCAGACAATGTCTACTCTCATCAACAGCATCTCGATATAACCTATCTCCAAAAATTGAGGTAATATATCTAGCCATCTTCTGCTGCTGTGGTAGACTGCAGTGGTTCTCCAGACAAATTATCACAGGATATCTGAAAAGAAGAAGTTTACAGTTAAAAAAAATATAAATGGATTTCTGTTTGCATACCAAAAGAAAGAAAATGATAGTTACATTCATTCTTCAAGTTAAAAATAAAGAAAAATGGCTGATTGCAGAAAGAAAAAAATCTAAAAGGAATATGTGGAAAAAAGAAAAATAGAGAGAAATGAGCAAAGATAGAAAAAGTTGCAGTAAATAAAATAACAAATGAAGAAAAATGCAAGAGAAGAAAAACCCAAAAGAGGTTGAAAAGAAAGTTGACAGTGAAAGAAATTAAAAAAAATATATATAAAAACAGAAGACCAAGAGAAAGTGTCAAAAAGGTAGCCATTTTCTTTCTTGGGTAATCATTATTCTCAACATGATGATACATTGAACACAATTACTGCAGCATTAACAATTTGCAGCCATCTTGTCTATATTGGCAGGATGGATGAAAGGATGAACAACTGAATATCAACAAAGAAAAAAAAATTTCAATGCTTTTAAATATATACTTTTACTTCAGACATTCCATTCTGAAGTAGACATTAAAAGACAAAGGATCACTGATTTCTTTACCAATTTTCATGAGATATATAAGAGGTAGAATATAATAATACATGATGTTCTAAAGAAATCACTTTCATACTTTTCTAAATAGCACTTCAAAAATGTTTTGTTGAACAGGGCATACATTTTCAACAATTTCAATCAAGCAGCCATCTTAATTTGAAGAGTTATTAAACTATTTTGACATTGCAGAGCTTACAAACACAACACTGTAAAATGTCATAGCCTAAGTTTAAAAGATAAAAATTTCTATATAAGATCATGTGACTTTTAAAAGATATTTTTCGCTAAAAGTGGTAACTCATTATGTCCAACTTCAATATAACAAGATGCAAAATTACTTTCAACTCAGGCTTTAGATTGCTTTTTTTTATTTTCTAAATCATTCAAAATTACTTTGACTACACTATATTTGATGAAAGATTGCCTAACTTTATAAGCATCTTGTGCAGTATGACAAAAAATCTTGTTTTTTTTGTGCATAAAGCATGATTAGAAATGGTTTGGGGTAGGTGAAGACTTGAAGAAACTCTAAGAAGAGAAAATAATGACATAATCAAGACAATTACATTCCACACTACTTAAAATAAAAGGTTAGGAAGGAAACTTCCATCAATACTGGAAAGAGGTATAACAGCTACTGGGGTGAGAAAACTATTTTCCTTAAAAATTGTTTGAAGAGAAAGAATTCATAAATTTTAACCATTTCCACTGGCTGTTTGGTTAATGAGTGCCAAACTTTTCCTTGTAGGGAAACGGCTAATATTATTATTACGATACATGCTCGGATGTTAAAAAGTGTCAAGTGTAGCCAAGGGAGATAATTTTATTTTTTCTTAATCATCTTCCATATATGCTAATTACATTATTTCTGTACATCATAAAACTTATAATTTTCCATGAATAACATCTGTTGCATTGGATTTTTTAAAACTTTTATTTCTCGTATATTAAAACAGTTATTATTAAATAACACAATGACAGAATTATCCAAAGAGAATAATTATAAAATTATAAAAATATTAAAATTATTTTTTTCAGACAAATTTTAATTTTCTAACTATAGGCATATTTTCTGGTTGAAGTTTAAAAAAAAAATTCAATTTCCATGAGTGAGAAGAAAGTTTCACTTGAACAGCTTCTTTCTATGAACTACTACTCTGTGGAACCTACTCCCAAGAGGATACTTCCCTAACCACTACAATCTTTAAAAAAAAAAAAAAGATCACCAAAGACTGATAAAATATTTTCAATGGCCAAAGGATATTCTGAGGTTTCATAATATTAAATAAAATGGTTTTGACTGACTGAACAGAATTATTTCCATAAACTCTTAGTGACAATACCATTTTCATAAATGAATTCTGAAAATATTGCTGAACTCAATTACCTACAGAGTTTTGATAGATTTTTAAAATCTGGACATGTTTTACTTAAAGATTTTTTTTCTGTATATTTTTACTTCACAAATTTTCATAGTATAAACAACTTATCAAACAATTTTTATATCAACATTTTCTCCATTCTTCTTATTACTAGCACAAAGAAAATGATGAATAAATTAGCTTTTAAATAAATTTGGTTCCTTTTTTATCGAAGGCATGTGAAGGTATCTGCAAAGAAAGTAACGACAAATAAATAAAAAAAAAAAAAAAAACAGATCAAAGTAGATAGAAAAAAAAAACAAAGTTTTGATATTTGCTATATTATAGAGGAGAAGGAAAGAAAAAAGTATTGTATTCATTGCTTTATAAGAGACTCTGATGCATTAGACATTTCTCCAAATCTTGAAGGAAGATTTATAGATTTTTTTCTTTTTATTTCATAGCCCTCCCCACTATCTGGGATTTTGCCCATGTAATAACTGAAAACCTGACACCATGACAAATTCATCACAGACTGAGAAGTACTAAATTTATGGTAACTATTTTGAAAGCAAAAATTAGAAGCATAATACCACTGAAACCTAACCTTATAGAAAAGCCTGAAACCCTCACTGATCTTGACAAATTCATCAAAGACTGAATTTAAAGTAACTATTTAGAAAGCAGTAATTAGAAGAGAAGTTGAAATATATCTTTATTGCAGCCTGAAATCCTCACTAATTGCTCACCCCAAATTTATAACTCCTATTGCTGACCTTCGATTTATTTGAAAAAGTGTGGTTTTTGGAGATATCTTATAGGAAAAAATGTGTCTTATAAGCAGCAAAATATAGTAATTTGATTCAATGTGAAATCATCAATCCAAGATTTATTAAGAGGTATCAAAATTATTCAACTTTACAGCCCTTTACTCCAAAGCTTATTTGATGTACACATCTAAAGATGATGTACCTGACTCCACTATATTATTATTATTATTATTATAAATTAGGATACATCAAAAGTATTTTTGTTTTTTACTGACTCTGAAACATATTTCACATGACTGTGCCTTTTGTATAAATAATTTCATGGTAATTGTTCAGATGAATTCTAAACTATGGTACTTAGACTTCATGAATTTAAGTGCTGCACTAGTTTGATAAAAAGGTTTCATGAATTTACATTTGAATTGGCTAGACGTAACCATAAATTCTATGCTAACAGTTTCTTTTCTTGCACGTGGGACTCTCTTCCAGCCCATGCATTTCAGCCAACTTTGATCTTCAAAAATTAAAATGCAATGTCAATCGTTATCTATTGTCTTCTTGATTACTTTATTGTTCTCACTCCTTAATAATGTTTATCTTTTTTCTTATTCTTTCACACTCAGTAACTCCTTGTGTCTTAGTGACTTTACTGCCTTGCACGGGATGAAATGATTGAAAAAAAATATGCATATGGGTGGGTGTGTGGATGTGTAATGAAGTATCTCATCAACTCATTAATCCCCAATGTGGTCACTGAGAGCATTGTGTGAAGACATCTGTGGAAAAATATGAAAAAGTTGTCTCAAACAAAGGAATTAAATGAGAAGAGGTTTTGTATAATTCAAAAAGAATAAACCAAAACAATATGTATTGATGGAAAGAATAAAACACTGAAAATAACCACAAATCTTAGAAGAAATGATTGAGTGAGAGTCTGGTTTATGGTCTGTTTTGTTTTACAGTATATCAAACTCAATGGGTTATTTAATGCCAACAAGATTTTTAGAATAGGTTTCTATAAATAGAATATGTATTCTTTGTAAGAAATCAGTTTGTAGACCAGGTTTCATTGGCATATTTTTGTAAAGAGGGTTTTTGTTGAGAATCAAAGGTATTACTAGAAATATTTGTTTTTTTTTTTTTTTTTTTTTTTCAAAAGTGTTTTGCTGGTATTTTAACTATAAAACTTTATTTTTATACTTTCAGTGTTTTGACCCCAGTTTGGAGGTTAACTATTTTCCTGTAGTTGGGACCCTAAAAGGTACTACCACCTCATGTCAGGGTGAACTTGAGAACAACAGCAATCAAGAGGTGGTTCCATGATCCTCAAGATCTCCTGATCAGAGGCCTTGCTGCAAGATGTAGTTTATTGTCATACCCAGGATGTGAGAGTCTGTGAGTATGTAATGATAGAGTTCAGAATTTGTATCAGCCAGGTTAAAAAGTTTGCTATTTATTGTTGTCCGTATTTTCAGGACCATGTTTGTGTCCTGATTTTTAGAAGTGCAAATAAACACATCTTACCCCAAGTGTCATTGATAGTGAAAAAAAATGAGCCAAGCTTTTTTCTGGAAATTTCAAATTTCACTTCTCGATGGTCATTATGAAGTCTTCCTATCTGTCTCTTTCTTCTCTGATGGTGTTTGAAACTGTGTCATTTGTGATGCAGTGTACATAAAAGAATGTCGAAGATGGTTCTGCAGCATTGCAATTTGAATGCTTGGATTCTTTACTGCAATGTAATTCTGCTGTTAATGTCTAAGATTTGCAGGCATAAAGAAAGACTGAGAAAGACAATGCATGAAACATTGCATAGTGTTTTAAAGGCAGTATCATTTGTTATAGACTGCCTTCTTCATTTCTTAACAGGATATCATCCTTACCAAATGGAAAATAAATGATTAAATTAAAAAGGTTAGAATTAAAACATACCGTGAAGAAATGAAGGCATAGGTATTGATGACTTCAATAACATTCTTGAAAGGTATTTTTGAGGTAAGTGTTCGTCCATGGTAGACAAGAGGTTCATCTTCTGGTCCATCCCATACATCCACTAAAAGTAATGAAGAAAAGAGCTTTAAAAAGAAAAGACGAAACAGATGCAAATGCAAGTCCATTAAAGTCATTTGAATCAAATCAGGTCACTTAAAATATTTAAACATTCACTTAGTGATATTTGTGTGCGTGTGTGTACGTATATATATATATTATATTATATTATATATATATATATATATATGGAAGCACAGTGGAGTAATGGATAATGGCTCAGAACGTGGAATCAGTGAGCAGATTTTGAATTTCAGTAGAATTCATTACATTCACTTATGTGCTGATATCTTTGGAAAAGGTATGACTTCATCTTTTCTTTCCAAGCTATGGGTAAAAAGAAACAGGAAGAACTGGCTCCTATAGCCTTGGGAGGCAAAACACTGAAGGAGAAAGAAAATATATATATATATACGTTTGTGTATTTTCTTTCATCCATATATATATATATATATATATATATATATATATATATATATATAGTAATTCATTGAGTCTAGAAGAATCCTCAACAGAATGCAGAAAGCAATGGAAGTTTCATCCTATTTTTGGACTCATCAGCAGTGTGTATTCACTACTAAGAATTGAACCTGGACTGCTATGATATGACGCAAATGTCATACTCACTGGACCAACAGGTCTCAGTAATGAAGAGGCAACAAACTAGACCCAATATAGCACTGCTCTTCACAAATTTCATCATGTAACTCGTCCAAGTTTACTTAGTCCAATGGACTGTGTCCCCACGAGTCATGTCTTCTATCCCCAAGCATTAGAAGCTGGTTCAAGCAAGGATATACAAGTGATAGAAATTATTATAAATATTATAAATTATTGTGTATGATTTGTGTGCAGAGATAACCTTATATAAGAAATGAATTGGGTAATTTCTAGATTGTTCTGGTAATAAGATAATTGGAAGAATCTAGCAAAATCTTACAAAAAATTATGTAAATAAAGATAATTTAAGCTTTTTGATATTACTGATATATTTTGTACGAATACTTTTTTACCTTGAAATTTTATAAATAACACAATTTCATTTATAACAAAGTTTTCTAATTATTTTTTGCATATTGCAGCATTATGCAATAGTGTAGAAATATCATATAGATTTTAAGTTTTTTCATAAGTTATAACTATGTTAATTAAAGAATTTCATGGTGTACAATATATATATATATATATATGTATGTATATGTATGTATAGTTTCAGGATAAACCCCAGATGGGCTATCTGGGTACTGAACAAATGCAAAGGTACTTGAGCGTGTGTCTGCAGTAGGGATTAGCTAGCCACCCTAGAAGACTGACAGCCTCACATACAATTGGTCAGCCATTATATATATATATATATATTTTGTTATAAAATTTGGTATATTGACTGAGGAAAATGCTTAGTATTGTAGAGACAGCATTCTGTAGAGATATACAATATAATCATAAGAATCAAAACTGCATGGTTTCTGCTGTTAGTTTCATGTTCTAACCTTTTGCTCTGAAGATTTAATTGAAGAGTTACTATGTAATGTTGATTCCTATGTCCACATCACCTTTTTATTTCTCTCTCATATTTTATAAATACATCAAATTCACATTATGTGCATCATGTATGTTCCACTTAACATCATTTTTCACACACAAACACACACCTATATATATATAAATATATATATATTTATTATGTCTGTTCACTGGTGAAGAAGTTGTATTTAGTAATGACATTGCTGAGAATTGCAAAAAACATTAATTCCTCTGAATGGAGATGAAAACTACAATCTCAGACAACAAAAAGTAATAATAATAATAATAAAAAAATAATAAACATAAAGATGCCAACTTACATTCAACACATCTGCATCCTTTCTTCAAAGCTCTAACATAGCCCTCAACACTTGATGGACCCTTCAGCTGGTCTTCCATTAAGTAACTGTAACATAATAAAACCAATAAAAAACAAAAGCATAGAAAATTTCACTTTTTCACATCACAAGCCAAAGACATATTTGGTTGGCCCAAATCTTTCTTTAGTTTATGAAGTAAATTTTCTCCCTAATAACTGTATAAATGTTTTGGCCAACTGAATAAATTCCTGTTCTCAAAGCAGCTGACACTGATTGTTTGCCAATCAATTGATATCATTCTCAAAGATGTAGATAATGGCTGTCCAGTTTCTTTTTTCTTTATTATCTGTGAAATTTGTCATGATGTTTGATGACACAATAGATAACAATAATGACAAAAGCTAAATTTGATTAATTCCTAAAATATTTTTCACAGAATTAAGCAAAATTTCTAACAGATCTTTGTAAGCCTCCTGATGATGACCAATGGAAGGGTTAAATGTACTATGACCCACCACTTCTCCTAATTAAGCTATGGACCATTCATTCATGGATTTCTATCTAATGTTTGACGCCAAGAAAAGTTAATTAAGAAAACTTGTTTTTCATTAATTAATAAGTGCTTGAAAGAAAATTTACTGCTTAAACATGTTATTCATACACACACATATTTATATATAAATCTATGCTTCATCCAGCTTCTAATGCTCTGGATGGAGCGGTTTGGTGAAAGAAGACCTTGTTCTTGTGGCCGATTCTGGTGGGTTATGTCTGCTTGGATGAGTATCACCACTGGAATTAGGAGTAGCTGCACTATATTAAGTCTAGTTAGTTTCCCCTTCGTCACCGAGGCCCACAGGCTCAGTGGTATGATGCTCACGTTGTATCATAACAGTCTGGGTTCAATTCTCAGTAGTGGATGCACAATGCAGATGAGTGCTAAAAAGGATGAAACAGTCATCTAGTGATTTCTGCATTCTGTTGAGGTTTTGGTTTTTGGTTTGTTTTATGGCACATCAACCTCAATGGGTTATTTAATGCTGACAAGATTTTTATTGTTCATTATATTTTTTTTCTTTTTTAAATGTATTGCTGGTAATATTTTCTCTTCAAAAATTTATTGCTGGTAATAATTTTTTGACAAAGTATTTTTGGTATTAAACCCTATTTTTACACTTTCATAGTGTTTTGACTCCAGTTTGGGGGTTAACTATTTGCCCATAGCTGGAACCCTACCACCCCAGGTCATGGTGGACCTGAGAACACCAGCAATTAAGAGGTGGTTCCACACTCCTTAAAACCTGATCAAAGGCCTTGCTGTTGGATGTAGTTTATTGTCATACCCAGGATGGGCATTCTGTTGAGGATTCTTGTTCTAGACTCAATGAATTATTATGAGAAATATATATCATTTTAAGGTATGCTATTGTTATACAGGAATAAAGTGTCACTTCCAACACTTGAGTTTGAACATAGATCACCAGAGAGTGAACACAAATGATCCCATTACTGGATTAAGTAGACCACGTGACCATAGAGGAAACACGTAAGTAGAAAGTATCTAACGATCGCATATATTCTATCCTCTATTACTATTTGGATCTCCATTTCTACTCTATCCTCTATTACTATACAGACCGTCATTCTCTACTCACTATACTATTTCTCTATTCAGATCACTATATGGTGGTTACTTTTGAGCAAGTATTATTAGCACAAGTGATATTCGAAGGCATCTGACACCAGCATTATTCAATGGTTAATATAGTGAAATATGCAATTACAAAGTCTCTACTACAATGAGCATTACAAAATTGATGAGTATTTGTTGGCATCACAAAAGCTATATTCATGTGTAAAAGAATATCAAGGATAGTGCATTTGTAAATATAAATATAAAAGTCAACACTGAGTGTCAAAAGTTAATCTTCAGGCCATCATACATATATATATATATATATATATATATATATACTATTTACATTATTCAGACTACTGTCCTCATCTTTGTTGCCATATCTATTACACGCTCTGGCCTTCTTCAGGTGGTTGGAATGCCGAACTGAACCCTTTCGCTCACTTCTAGTTCCACGTGCCAGTTATCAGTTATCTCCTGTTAAAAGTTCTCCACTTTGGGTTCTGTCACTGAATCTAACGCCTTTATCCACTGTGCTATGTGTCCTTGAGGACATCTGTGTATGAATTTCTGGGTTTATAAACCTAATGTCTTCAGCAAATATTTTTTTTACCAGAGCTCATATTGCAATTTTTGTTGTTATTATTGCTTTTCTCTGGCACTCCTTATTACTGGTTTCCATATTGTATTTATTTCTTTGCTTGGTCTGCTCAGGAGATTTTTGTGGCCTAGCATATGTGCTGATTCCTTAAGTTTATGAATTTTCCAATGGTGTTCTTTGTCTATGATCTCAACCTGATCCCACGGAGGGCAGTGATCTCTCTTTTCTCTCCATATGTGCTCAGCCACACCTGATTTTTCCTTCATGTTACAGCTTTCTAGTGTTCTTGAAGCCTTACCTTAAGGGGGCGGCCTGTCTCCCCTTTATATTTCTTTCCGCAGCTTCACCGGATAGTGTACACACAGTCTTTAGTCATGGGAGGGGGGGGGGTCTTACTCGGGAGATATATGTGTGAAGCGTCGTCCAGCTTTCAAAGGTTGTCCTGATGTTATATGGACCGCAGATCCTTTGTATTTTCCCTGATAACCCTGTTTTCTGAGTGCTGTTGTCCTCCTGATGTACCAGCCTATCCTATTTTTTTAGGGCTGCTGCCATGTACCTAGGGTAGTTGTTACGTTGTAGGGTACTACTTATACTGACCAATTCGTTATCTAATGTCTCTGGGTTACCACATGACTTTTGCACAGTGTTGTAAGCAACAGACAATCTCTTTCCTTACGCTTTTATGGATGGTGGGAATTGAAATTGAGGTAGTGTTCAGTAATAAATATGGCAACAAAGATGAAGACAATATTCCGAATAATGTAAATAGTGTACATAATACCTCATCTCAGAAATATATATATGATCTTCAATCACTTAAATCAATTACAGGGAAATATGTAATAAATCTTGTTTAATAGTTTTATTGTAAATTCTTAAGAACAAAAAAGAATGCATAAATTCACTTTCATCATATGTTTAGGTTTTATTTCACTTCTAATCATCACCTTTCAAAACTATAAAAATTGCTGAAGAATGAAGGTAGTTAAAAAAAGAGGTGTCATGGGGAAAACTGTCCTTTTGATACTATATTTTATTGCAGGCATGTTTGTCTATGTTTGCCATTCCATACTTAAATGCAATCTTCAGGCCTGAAACAGACTGTCACTGTTGGGTGTTAACCTCAATGTCCAGTTATATATATATATATATATATATATATATATAATCTTTTACCCCCACAAATTCAGTATTTGACATAATGTTTTCATGTGAAAAGGCATTTTCAAAGAAGAAGCATGCTAAATCTACATATAGGTCAGTTTTAACTGTTCAATATTTACACTCAGTTTTGATATGAGAAAAAAAAACGGATTTTGACTCACATTCTGAGCTTAATTTTATATATGAATAAAAATGAAATTCATCATTCTCATTGAGTCTTTATTTGTAACACTAATGTATTTTATGAAAGTCTATGTTTATTCATAATGGATAATCTTATTTAATATTTAAATAATGTTTTTATTGAATGAAATTGTTGTAAGAGTGTAAAGGGAGGAAGAAGAGGAGCATATTATTTAGGATAAATATCAGTTGCCCAAGACTTGAAGAGGTTAAGATACTGACAATCTGACCTACTTCCAAAATGTTTGTTAATCCTTCTCATAGATGAACAACAAGCACATTAATTTCTGTGATGATTTTTTTTTATATGCCATGCCATTTCAGGAGGTGTGCGATCATGGCTCTCCACAACTTCCTCCTTTTTATTGCTTGATGTAACCATTGACTATATCTACTTGTTTTTGTTCCCCTATCCATCCTTGCAAACTCATTAAGTTACTTGCTGTTTCATAGAACATGCGAACATCAAGAAAGAAAACTTCCTTGATTTAGTTTGTTTAATGGCATATCAACTTGGATCATTTAATGCCAAAATTTAATTTTCTTGGGAGCTTTGGTTACTTTTTTTTTACTATTAAAACCTATTGCTGGAAATTTTGATTACAAAATGTATTTTTTCAGATTTGACACCAGTTTGGGGATTCACTATTTACCCATAGCTGGGACCCTAACAGCTGCTACCACCCCGGGCCAGGGTGAACCTGGGAAAAAGAGCAATTAAGAGATGGTTCCACACTCTTCAAAACCTCCTGATCTGAGGTCTTGCTGCCGGATGTAGTTTATTGTCATACCCAGGATGAAAAACTTCCTTGATACTCATATATTCTATCGTTACTGCTGTTATAATGTGCACTGACATGCAATAGGAAATATATATGATTTATAATTAATGTTGAAACCTTATAAATACATTGTGACTGGACAAGGGCTTTATCAATTTGATCTGGTGCTAAGGCTATGTAGAGAAAGATGAGCTCAGAAACAGTTGAAGAATTCCTAAACCCAATTATCCATGCTCATAGGCATGCAAGATTTGTAAAAATACTAGAAATTTTACAACCAATTAAATGCAAAATATGTGCCTTGTAAACTTGATATACACAGCTGTCAATGTTGCATGAAGGCTTGTAAAATCTAACATAGGCTGTATCAATCATATGTACATAAAAATAACCTAATTCATAAAACATATGTTGTATAAAGGCTGTAAAATCAAACATTTCTGGTTTGTATATTTATCTTTGCACAATTGTCTTTCTCTTCATCTATTTACCATTGAAATAAGGTTTTTCAGTAATGCTTATAATCAAAAACAAATTTAATGCAATATTATCTAGGATGCATAGTAGAGTAATGGATTGCAGCTTGGATTGAGGAATCTGAGAGCTGTGTTCAAATTCCAGTCAAGTTCATTACATTAACTTATATGTTAATACCCTTGGGAAAAGTATCAATTCAACTATTCCCCACATAGCAATGGGTAAATAGTAGGACAGACTATGTTTTATAGCCTTAGGTGGCAACCAGTATAGAGATGGTAACTAAATAAAATCATTCATTTTTGAGCAGGTTTGAGCCACTCATTAGGAAACATCAGCCCCTGAAAATGCATACTGGTTGATTGTTTGCATTGCGCATTCTGCCACAGATGGAGAAAACATTTACTTTTTTATCTACTGAGAATGTTATGCAGATGTATCTCTTTGAACCTGCACAGAGGTGAGTTACTAGGTTGAAATAAACAAGTTCATCCATCTCATTAAAACTATAATATTAAATTACAAACAAAAACAGCAATTGACTAACATATGTTCTATGGTATCTATACATTTTCACCTATATTCTTTGCAAGGAGTATGCCAACATTGCCAGACATGATTAATGTATATGCTGGAGGAAAAGGTTTAAGCTGTCTTGGTTTGGTTTAACTAGTTACATAAAGAACAAACATTGATATTGCAGATAATGCAATGGTTAGCGACTCAGAAAGAGAAATTGGTGCACTGAATTCAAACTCAATCTGAATGCATTACATTCACTTTCGTATAAATACCCTGGGGAAAAGGATGAATCTATCTCTTCTCCAGACACTAATGGCTTAAACAAAGGTCTGACTGGCTCTCTCGCCTTGAAGTGGCAACCAGTCTAGGAGTAAAAAAAACTCTGAATTCAAAACCATTTATGTGAGGGGTGAGTTCCATCAGATTATCTTTCCCTAGACACACCAATTCTGCTATGGCTGCATCCTAAACTAGACATTAATGGTCATAAGTTTTCAACCTCAATTGCATCAAAAAGCAACTGTTGTTCATTCTCCACTGCAAGAAGCTGTATTCTCAAATCAGTTCTGTTCAATAGTAGTGGATAGGTCTGCCTATCATCCAGTTCACATTCCTCCATGGTCATTGAACACTATGGACACAATATTGTTGAGGACTTTCTTTGCATTATAATCCTTTACAAAGTTTAAATTGTTCCTATGTTGTTGCGCACTGTTTATTGTGCATTAAGAAATCTATCATTCTGTAATTTTTGGGAGCTTTTTCTTTTGAATAAAGGTGATGTTTGGTAATTTCATCATTCACCATTTGGCTGTTTCCCCCACAGTGATTTTAGTCTGTGAGTGCATTATGTGTTACACATATTGTAATGCCAAGGTTGTATAAATGCCCATATCACTGAAAGGACAAAGCCAACCATCTGATGAATGCTCACAATAGTGCATATAAAACTGGTAATCATGACCAGTCATATGTATGTAGATTCAGCACCTCTACTCCAGATGGACCTTTGTGTAATTGTTTGGTCCATTTGTCAGGAGGAATCAGCAAATATCTGTCAATATTCTTGTTTTTGTTATTTTTATATTAAGTTAAAAAATAGTTTATGTACTTTTAATTTCTGTTAGGTTAATTTTTTTCTTTCTTTTAGTATGCATGTGTATGCATACCTGTATGTGTGCATATGTAGAATGTTGTGATATTATCTTCTTTTCATAATTTCACTGAGGTTTTCTAAAGTTTTTGAAAATATATTAGTGTATACTTTTTTAAAAATTTTTTTTTATTTCTTGTTTAAGTATCTATTTTTTTATTTATTAGTTGTTTAAATAAGTAATTTTTTTTTAATTAATGCTTAAATGGTTTTATATATATATATATATATATATATATATATATATATCTTGAAAGTAAAGAGATAATGCTCACTTTGGAATAGTATTACTTTATAGAATCCACCATTAAAACAGACTGAAGACCATCCAAAAAGATTTCAGTGGGCAAAAAACCAAAATAAGAGAATTTTGGGTACTTTACATATTTTATTTTAAGAAGCTTTGTCAACCATTATTATTAATATTTGACAAGTATTTTCATTTTAAGTTTTCATTTACCCTTAATGTCACCTTACCCAGACTGTCAATTCTACAGTAGTAGGAAAAAATAAGATAGATTTTTTTTTAACTATGTATTCATCCAATAGAAGGCTCACGAGACATTCAAGGTAGAGGGTTACTAAATGAAGTTGTTGTATGAATATAAAAGGAGGAGGGAAGAAGTGCAGTTTATGAGGATATGTAGGAAAGATGACAGTTAACCTGACACTTGAAAAGGTTTCATCTCAGTGTACATGGCATACTGGGTCAAATATGGACCTTATCTATGAAGGTCACAACTGGAGAAACTAAGGAATGTAGGTTGTCAGAACATTTGCCATGAAAACAGCATAAATGTGTGTTAAAGATTAATTGTTACTGACAATTAAAAAAAAGAAATATGCTGTATATTGCGACTACTATGGGGGTATTGGTATATTGATTGGTCTGCTTTTTATGGCTTATCAATCTTTTGTGAGTTACTTAAAGCCGAAACATATTCTAGATTGTAAGGATATTATTTTCTTTTGTTATTTGATATTAGATTAACAATATTTTTGAGGATAACAATTTTTCCAGATATAAGTCCTAATATATAGCTGGGAGGAGGAGATGTATTCATACCTTTTCCAAAGCTATTTGCACATAAGTGAATATAACAAATTCAACTGGAATTTGAACTCAGTTCTCTGATTTCTCCCCACAAGCCAGTATCCATTACACCATCCACACACCCTATGAAGGTTAAAACTGATGGAACTAATAAATGTAGCCTGTTAGAATATTTGCCATGGAAATAGCATAAAGAAGAGTTTAAAATTAATAATGGTTGATAATTCAAATATAAAAATAAACCTTCTGTACGATTAGGGAGAAAATGCATAGAGAGTTCATAGAATGGAGTGATGAGTTATTACTTAAATTTGTTATTCTGTAGGTTGTAAATTTCACATAGCAGTGAGCGCTTACCAGTCTTAGTTAAGGCAAAATGAAGTTGAGTTTGAATTTCACTGAGAGCTTATCTCATACTTCTGATCTGTGCAGTTTGTTCACTGCTGTAAAATTGACAGACTAAGCTGAAATAAAAAGTAACTGACCAAAATTAAGATGAAAGTAAATACCAGTGAAAAATCAATAATAAAGAAAGTTACTCACGTGTTGTGTGAACTTGCAATGAAGTAGTGACACAGTGGCTGCATCATATCTTGACATACACGTCGATGCTCTGGGTTGAAAATATCACATTCTTCAGATAAAAGGTAGGCTGTGAAACCTAAAAGGAAAAGTGATAAACATTTTATATACTCCCACTACTAAGCAAATAGTACTCTTCTTCTATGTGTCATATCCCTTCAGGACGTGGGTGATCATGGCTCTCCACATCTTCCTGTCTATTGTAGCTCCTTGTAAGGTTTGTCTTTTTGCAATCCTTCCTAGTTTCTGTTCTGCCAAACATTTACACAATCTTGTTAGTGTGAGAAAATAGCAATGAGAATTTGGCATTTTAATTATACGTTATTAGATTTACAGATCGTGACATCTATGAAATTTAAATTTTTATTATTGCATTATTCCAAAATTTTAGCACATCAGTAGATAGCAACAACTGAGCACAAATAGTCATTAATGAAAAAAATTAGTAATTAATGTATAATATCATCCACAACTACATGTACAGGATTGTTGTTTTTGATAAAAGTAAAAAAAATAACGATAAATACATAAAAAATGTGTATATTGTCGAAAATTCCTTTTTCCACAATATAGCTATTTGTGCTATGTAATATATGCTTGTTACCTAAACAATATTAATAATGAATAAAAATTTTTTAAACATTAAAGTATATTTAATAACATCACCCTAATAGCTGTTGCGATCTGTTAATTATTTAATCTTTTGAGATGTGCTACAATAGAAGGAATTTGTTTGTGTGTCTCACTTTGGAGATGAGCACTGATTGTTTTTCCATTTTTGTTTTTTTTTTAGGAATTTATATAGATTTCACAAAAAGTGGTAACACATGATCTGATCACTTCAGGCAGTGGTTCCAAAATTTTTTACTCTGGTCCGCATTTTTGGAAAGAAAATTTGCTCATGCCTCACCAAATTTTGTGTGATAAAAAGTACATTTAAAAATAAAAAAAATAGAAAGTTAAAGGGAGACAACCACAGATTTGAAGTAAGAACATTATCATTGATAACTCTCTCCTCCAATTTGTGGACACTAGTTACTATGTTCTCAATACTTGATACAATGCAAAAATATCACAATGATGAAATTGGTCAATAATTATTTATAACTATTAATATTGGGACTCATGCATGCAATTACAAGTAATCCATAATAATATTTTCAATTTTGAAATCATATTTAATTTTTGCATATGAATTTTTTGAGACTGTTTCTAAATCTTTGTACTTTCAATCATTTTGCCTCACCTGCTATCAATTTGTGCTGTACCATTTGGGAACCACTGGTATAAGGCATGAAACATTGATTTCTATATCCACACTGTTTATATCTATAAATGCTCAATCTTCAAAATTGAGCACTCCTATCCCATAAAGATAGAATATTTTAAATTATATATATATATATATATATATATATATATATATATATATATATGGTGGCTGCCGACTCACAAAGTGAGTATGACCATCACTGACATGTCCAGCCTTTCAGTTAAACTCCCCCCAACTCACAACACTGCATTCATTGATTGTATGAATGACAGTAGCTCATAAAACCAGCCATCAGTCTATATTTCTTGTCACATATGTGGCATATCAAATTATCTCCGGGTGGTGGAAGTTGCTTTTGATTATCATCACTTCCAATGTGCTTTTATATATATATATATATATATATATATATATATACACACACACACACACATACACACAAGGTTCATATCCTAAAAATCATGTCTGAGGTCTTTAATTCCAGTGGCATAAATCCAAAAGGTCAAAAATTCGCAACGCACAACTACTTTCTTTTCCCATGTTGAGTCAAGTGTCTCATCTGTCAACCAAAGTAGTGTTTTTATTAGTGTAAGGAAGGTTGTGATTACTCAAGACTGGTTGGGAAGTGAAAGCAATTACCATATTTTGAGCCCTGCAAAAATCAGCTTGACCTTTATTGTGATTTTCTTTTTCCATAGACAGCACAGAGTATATGAATTCTTTTTCAATGTAAGTGTTCATTTTCTCCTTCATTGCCACAGTTAAATAGGCTATTTGTTGCTTTCTGCTGTTCCTCTTGCCTTCAACATGTCCTGCAAATATCAAATTCTTATAAACTGCTTTCCTCATCATGTGCTCCCTAAAGTATCTCTTTCTGATGATATGTATAAGGTTCCTTTTTGTTTACGTTTTCCTTAAAACCTCTTGATTACTTACATGGTATTTTCAGCATCCTTTTACAGAACAACATTTTTGTTGCATCAAGTTTCTTCTTCATCTGTGAGGAAACTGTCTAGAAATGAACTGATATAAAATAACAGTTCATAATCTGGCTCCTTCTGCCATGCTTCATCTTTACAAGAGTCAAATTAGACCCAAAATGGAGTATTGCCAGCATATCTGTCCTGGAGATGCTCATTCCTTATTTTTCAGCCTTGAGTTCAAAATTACTTATGCAGTCTTGTTGCGGAAGACTTATTTTCCACTCTGCAGTCTCTTTCCCCACAGACACAACCTTACAAACTGTCACTACTCTATTGCTATTTTCAAATGAACTCCATTATTTAGTTCCACTAGTTCATACCTTTAAAGCTAGAATGTACCATGCTACTGACATCAAGTCAAAATAGGCCTCATTTCCTCCATGTTCTAAATATAAGAAAAGATTCTACCCAGCATTCTCTCAAGAAGTGTCACTTTGTGAAACAAACTCATGTGGGTGCTTCTCTGAACACTTCAATTTTGACCATTTTTTAAAGGTCAATTGTCATCTTTCCTCCTGTCATAATTTTCACTTTCTGTCACCTACTCTTTCATTTATATCACACACTTTATTAACTATTACCATTTTGTCTGTAACCCTCTATTTTGAGTGGCTCTCAAACCCTGTATTGAATGAAATTTAATACTACAAAGAAATTCATCAAAGCTTTAGAGACGTCTTCTTCAAACTTCAGTAGATAGCCTCCTAGTCATAATACCAGTTCACTAGATGAAGTGTAATATTTATCATCATCATAATTATCAATACCTATGACACAGGTATACACAACTGAGCACCTGAACAGCCCCTTCCAATGATCTTAGTTGTCCACTAATATCCAAGTCTTTGTGAATGACCACTTAGTGACATTGTCAGCCTATTTTTTTCCTATGTCTGCTGCTGCTTCTTTTGCTTATAGTGGTTGTTGATTAATTTGTTTTTTACAGGTTATGAACACTTTGTAGGTTATTTAAAGGCATAACCTTGTAGGATGGTAGTGAAATAATTGTTAGCTCCTGTGACATGTCCATACCATTTCAACTTCTCTTCTTGATGGTGGATACAAGGTCTCACACTGTGTCATTCATGTTGTGATCTGTGTAGTAGATGCCTAGAATGATCATGTAGCATCTATTTTCTAAAGCTTGGATTCTTTGCTCTGAATTGTTATATATATATATATATATATATATATCTTTTATATATATATATCTTTTCTCTTATATATATATATATATATATATATATATATTATATATATGTGGTGATTATCACATCTTACTCAGATGAGAGTTGCTTCATTGCTTGTAATGACTTTCATCTCATTTCAGCATTCATGGACCCTAAGATGACACTTGAGACCAGCATTTGTTTTCATAGGTATAATGCATATCTGACAGATAATATATATATATAAATATACACACACATTTTTATTATGTGCATCTTATATACAAGTAATTGTAAAATATTTTGTGTATAAACCTGCAGTAAAAAAGAAATTAAAAATTACTGGTTGATTAAATAGAAACAAGAAACTATATCATCAAATATGCTTTGTTCTTGTAAAATATTTGAATACAAAAGTGGTCTCCTCTTGCAAAAAACAAAAAAAAACAAAAAAAAACTTGTTAATCTTCTAAGCAAGAGAAGAAACACCAAAAACAAAGAAAAATTCTATATGTCAAGATTAAATATTAATATAGTGATATATAGATAATACGTGGCCCAAAAAGTTGCTTTGGTCTATTAAGTAAAAATAAAAGGATTTCTTTTTTTATTTTATTTTTACCACTGACTTTCAACAAAAATTTATTTTCTTCTACTTTTCTTATGTAGAGGCAATTTTATAATGTCATTTTTTCATGAACATTTTCCATTCATTTTTGGAACAAAGAATTGCTTTTGGCATCTTTTGCAGGCTTCCAAGGAAATTAATTTTTTTTATTATTAAGAGAATTTTACAAAGACTCAAATGAATGATAATCTTAATGTTCATTTTCTAATGTATACAGTGAATGAGTAAAGACATCTCAGTCAAGCTGTAACAATTTATGTAGGATTACAAAAGAAATGTGTTACACTCTTTATAGGAAATAAACTATTTCCAATACAATTACATACCCACATAATACCATATTAAAACATACCTAAACTTTATTTTCTACCCAATAACAGACAAAAAGATTCCACAATACAAAACACTGTTTAAATCAAAATCTCTATTGGTTAGAAATTAACATCATCATGTGAAATATTTGACCAATTAGAGAAAACTAAAACCTTGTATTTCTCAAGCCTTCTTTAGAGAAGTTTCATATAAAAACCAACAGCGTTTGACTTTTAGGAGGAGAGATGTGACTGCTCCAAGCCATTCAGACACAAGAGATGATGCAGCTACATAGCTTTCTTCACCCCCTTGGTATGTGCTAAAAGAAACATGTTGGTGACTTCAAACAAATCATTTTCAACAACTATAGAGACAATGAATCTTTACTGACAATTAAAGCCCTTTCTTAACCAAAGCTTTGACAAAGCAACCTTTGTATTTGTTTTACTGGACAAAATCCCCCCCTCTTATATATGCAAGGCTTTCTAAATGTGATGAGTAGGAATTATTTTTCATCAATTCTGTCATATATCTTTTTATTTTTTTCTCAAACATACAGACAAAAATATGTGTACTGGAAATGTATCAGTGTGGGTGGGGGGTAAATGAAATATACATACTTTCTTTTTATTCCACTTTATATGAACTCAAAAGGAACTTTTTAGCATGTATACAATGGGTCATAATTTCAAATCTCTCATTCAAAAGGTTTTTTTTTGGTCAAAACTCAACACAGAAGCCTACATCAAGAGGTGGCTGCTGGAAGACCCTATGTCTGGCAATAGGACTCTGCACCATGTTACACAAGCAAGAGAACCCAGTCATGGCTGTCAAACTATTTCTGCGACCACATCACCACTGACATCTGGCCACATAATTCTCCAGGCTGTAACCCCCTTGATTATTATGTGTGGGGTGCAGTTGAGTGAGAGACCAACAAAACCCCTTGTAATACCAAAGATGAACTGAAGGTAAGGATTATGGCAGTATTCACCAACTTAAACAAGGAGACCATCCAGAAGAGTTACAGGAGATTCTGAAGTCATCTGGAGTAAATATATTTGTTAAAATGACATGTCAGTGTTATTTTCATTTTTGCATAACTTAGGCAACAATTTTTCCATTGTACACTCTCTCTCTCTCTCTCTATATATATATATATATACATACACACACACACAAACTTACCATCTATTCCTAAGTGGCCTTTAGTCCGACCTTCGCTTGAGGGTTCATATTTATTGATGATTTCCCAGCATCTTTCTTTGGTTACTCTGGCTTCCTAGATGAAAATATTAAAAGAAAACATCTAAGTTTGAAAAGGGAATTACTTCATTTCATAAAATAAATTCTTTAAAGTGATAATGAAAGAAACTCAATATGTTGAATAACCATCTCTCCTTTATTCTACATATTGTCTCTAGAATTATTGGCTCTTTCAAGCCAGCAAAATTACATTGAGTGATATCTCTGACATTGTAGTTTGGTTCAAATAATAAAGTATTATTTTTATCATCACTGGTTAGTTAATTTTGAACATGTTAACTTGATATATATATGTTATAAATTAACTGATTTAAAAATATGGTTCCTTTGCTACACAGGAATTACCATGTTTCAAAAACAGAAAATAACTTCAAATTCAAGTATTTAATTAAATTAAAAGCATTAGTTCTGTTTCATTTTCAAGTGAATTTAAGCAAAATTTTTGACAATGTCAGTAAAGAATAGCTGTTTGATTTCTTTGATTCAGTAAATTTTTATTTTTTATATACCTAGTAATATATAGTTTCTCATGTATGCACAAAGGACATGGGTCATTTAATGACCTACATATTCTAGCTTTTCTTATTTCCATTGTCAAAAATTTTCCTTAATATTTAATAAAAAAAGAGAGCTGTAATATACATACTTATATTTGATATTTAATAATAATTTTTAAATAATTTAAGTAATTCTATTACATTTATTTGTTTTAAAATGAAATAGTCTATTAGTAATTAAAAGTAAAAATAATATTGTAAAATTGTAGTTTAATAAAACATATTCTAATCCAAACACCCCTTTTAGAAAGAATCTTTATGTATACAAGTATAAATTTAATGGATAAAAATGCCAAAAAAACTTTTTGTCGTTAAAAAAAAATAAACAGACAGCATGCGTTGAATGGATGTCAAAATTTATTGAAAAATGCACCCCTACCCTACATAGACAAACTCTTTTCAAAAGTAACTCAAATTTGATACAATAGTTGTTAATAAAAATGAACACGCTATGGCCCCCGTCTAAATGATTGGATTTCTCTGTATCCTTGGAAACAAATTGTATGTGTTTTTAAAACTCAGTAAATTTTAAAATAAGTTATTCCAAAATTCATTTGAAAATGAAACAGAACTAGTGCTTTTAATTTAATTAGATAATTGTTAGTTTCTGTTTTTGAAACATGGTAATTCCATATTTTTAAATCAGTTAATTTATAATATTTATGCTCTGTAAATTTACATTGAGCACTGGTTTTGTAAAAATAAAAATATCAATAAGAACACTGGATTATATATCTTACTTTTCTTTCTTTTTTTACTATTATATATATATATATATATATATATATATATATATATATAATGGGCATGTGATCGAGTGGTTAGAACATTCATTTTCTGTCCATGAGACTCGGGTTTGAATCTTACCAGTGTTGATTTGTCAGGAAGGTGACTTTCTGATGTTATCGGTCTTGACAGGGGTGATCTCAGTGTGCAGCACCTTTGGAAAGTGTCTGAAAACCATACGACCGCTTGGCCTAAGCCTTGTGAGTAAAATTTGATAGAACAGTTTGGGAGCTGCTGATGGTTGTGCTATCACAAAGTCAAAAGTCATCGTAACCAAGGGTTTGAGCATACTGGATTTGTTCAGACTGTTGATCATATTAGATAATGCATTCTCTTCCAGAAACTGTAACTATAGTTTGCTCAGCATTGTTGCAGTATAAACCACAGGTAGGTTCTATGTGTGTTAAACAATGGATATCAAAGCAGGAATTTTTTTTCTTTGTGTGACATGTTTCTTTATTTAGGATTACACTGAACTAAAGGGATGATTACGTAAATGTGACTACATTTTTTGCAAAAAGGAGTGGGGACACTGAAATTAAATAAATTTTTTTTTTAAATATGTGTTTCCATATCCAATTTTATTTACTTTCATTTTTATCATTTTTGTTATTAAACGAACATATTTTCCTCTTATCATTGATTTTCCTAACATTGTTTTGGTATATCAAAATATTTATATATTTTCCCATAGAAGTTGTTTATCAAGTTTTATATATATATATATATATATATATATATATATTAGTTTATAATAAGACTGTTATATATATATATATATATATATATATATATATATTTGGAGGAGAGACAAGGAATGCTCAAGGGGAGGTGACACCAGCGTCATCTGCAGCCTGCCAATTCCACACCGGGCATGTTTCCCTGCCACCTGTGCCTGAGAAGTTGTCATTTGCAGATTGGGCTACTATCTCATCTGGCAGCCCACAGAAGATGGACGGAGATGGATGAACAGTGTCATCATCAGCAATGATGGACAGCCTAAGATATATATATATATATATATATATTTTTGGTTGGATTGATATGAGTTTGTGACCCTGGGTTTCACACTTTTGCGATCGTCAGACAAACTGATTAATTTTTAAAAAAAATTTGGGTTTATGTAGATTGCGTGTATTGGTATTATTATGGGAGTAGGGGGAATCGTCGTTGTAATGTCATCGTGCTAACGCAAACATAGATGCATGTTTGTACATCAGATGAGGTATGCACACATACACACTTGCTTGTCCGTTGGGACTCATACATATATAAACATATGTGGACAGTTTCGGATTTGACATATGTATGTATATGGGTGGTGTTGTGTCTATGCATACGCATTTGTATGTTGAAATTCAAAGATTGGAAGTGTAGTGAAAATTTCTCGTGAATGTATACATGCCAAAAATCAGAGCATTTATCTTTTTTTTCACTGAATAAAATTTCCTCGCATGTATGTATATACGCGTGGTGGGGTCTGTGTAAAATTATGATAGGTAAAAATTATTATTATTTTTAATTTTTAAAAAAAGGGTTTATTTGTTATTTATTTGTTATTATTTTAAAGCTGGTTTTTTGCTTGTTTTTGGTGACTGTGTATATGTAATTGGTAGAAATTTTGGTTTGTAATCCTTATTGGTTATTTTATTTGGTGGTATTTAATATGCTGGGTGGGTAGTTTACGTTAATAATTATAGTGGGTCTATATGATAATAGTAGATGTGATGTGGTAGTAATGTTGTAAGGGATTGGAGACAATGATAATATAAGTAGCTAATAGTTATTGTAAATTGGTAGAAGTGAATAGTAATGGTGGTAGGAGAATGATAAAAACAATAAATGTAATTATTGTGGTAGTAGCTTTATATATATATATATATATTCAATACTGAATATGTTAGCTCTCACTGATAGAGAGCACTTTCCACTAAGTACTGCACACATACACACACAATTATATATATATATATATATATATATATAAGTCTGACCATAATTTCAATTTAAAGAATGTGGTTCTGATTAAAAGAGACAGAAATTTATTAAAATGCATTCAGGATTATACAACATATTACCCTTCCTCACAAAATTGATACTAATATACAATACTGGATAATTAAAACTATTGCTAAAAAAAAGCAATAAGAGAACTGAATGAGATTGACTAATAAGATTAATATCTATATAAATCAGGTGTCAAAAATGTAATCAATTAAAGACTGATCATTTCTATATTATTAATCTTTCAATGTAAACTGTAACCAGATTTTGTTGTATTTCTCCCACTAATATTTTCTTCTCTTTTTATATACATATCCTATCAATAAAATGATTGTCTGAAGAATTTCCTTCCTGGAATGAGATGTGTCACTAATAAGTACTCCATCTTCTCATTCATTTGATCACTATTATTGATATATTATATGACACACACACACGTGTGTGTGTGTGTGTGTGTGTGTGAGAGAGAAAGAGTATAAAGTTGGAATAGAATCTGATACAATAATAAATATAAGACAATTTGAAAAACCAACTTTGGCATGATATTGGCAGAACAGCTTTCTGAATTATCTTATATATATATATATATATACACACACACATACAAAAAAAAAAAACTACACATGAAATGCATTAGTTGCTTACCATGACAAGACTGACCACAATTTTGATTTAAAAAATAATACTCTAATTAAAAAAGAAACCAATTAACTTTGACAAAAAAATTTAGAAAGTGTTTTAGTCACTAGATCAACTACAGTAAATTTGCATCCAGGTTCTTATATTTCACCATTCATGGCAGATCTTTTATTATCACAATTTGGGATACTTAATAACAAAAGTGATGAAAACATGAAAAAAAAAACCCAAAAGAATCCAAATGAAATCAGGGAGATTATATATACCCCAAGCACGTATTAAAGAAAAAAAATTTAAAAATTCTTTTCATCTTTCTATTGAGCTATATGTGCTTGTGTAGTCGTATCAATATAAACATAAACTTAGTCCATAAAAGGACAAAATACGTCACACAAAACTCTTTTCCACTTTGTCACACTTCTTTCTTCTATTCAAACAGTAAAGAAAATACTCCATGATATCAGCCACCCATAAGTAATACCCGAAATATATGGAAAAATTATGTTACCATTTAAGTGCTAGTTTATATATTAATAACAAAGCACAGGCAAGTATGCAAGTGTATGTATATGTGTTTATGTGTAAGCATATGCATATAAGCATATGCATACAAATTCAAACAATAATAAATAATTATAAATGTAACCTCCTAGAATTAATATCCTAATAGTACTTAAGATAACACCAAATCAGATAAAAATAGGAAATAATTGCCAAGTGAAGACATATATAAATATTTAGTTTATTATTTAAGCATTAAAATTAATTATTTATGCAAAGAAAATTAAATACAATTTTCCTAACTCAAAAAAAGTCGAGAATACTCAAAAATGAACAATGGCAACATGCCAAGAAAACTGGAAGTTAACAATTGAAAGAAAAGAGAGAAAAGGTTAAGGAGTGAATGTCAAGTGACAAAAACAAAAACAAAAAAAAAGTTGTAAAGGACAAATAATCATAACAATCTACACAAGCACAAATGCACACATATACTATGATAAAAAAAAACAACTTGCACCAATGAAAATTG